GCTCAGTCCAACCCTGGAGTTCTGTAAATCTTAACCGTGAACTTGCAGTGAGCAGATTCCTGTTCAGACCGTTAACCCACCGTGATTCTCTTTGTTTCTTCGTTCCTGCATTAAAAGGATCGGGTGATAGGGTTCCACGTTCTCGGCCCAAATGCCGGCGAGATCACCCAAGGATTTGCAGCCGCCATAAGGTGCGGGCTCACAAAACAGCTGCTCGATGCCACCACCGGAATTCATCCCACGTGCGGGGAGGTAGGCAACCGACAGGAGGGTTTTTTTTAAATTGGCTTCCCCGGGTGTGGGCTGAGAAACGATGATGAAGCCCGCGGTCCAATTCCACGTCAGTAACCGCTTTGTCCAGTTCAAGCGGTCGCGCGATCGCGACGTTCAGAACGTGTTTTCCGAAAGCAGCACGGACGTCTGAACGCGTGTGTGTCCCGTGTGCCTCCTCGTGCGCAGGTGTTCACAACCCTGGAAATCACGAAGGCGTCGGGAGCAGACATCACCCCGAAAAGCTGCTGAGGGTAGTCCCGCCGCCGCCGCCGCCGTCGGGTTTTCCTCGTCTTGGCCTCCAAATGAGGGAGTCACAGAGGGATCCTCAGCAGCCCCCAGACGAGAGGAGACAGGACAGCGGCAGGCGTCTGCCCCGAGGCCCGGCCGACTCCGAGAAGCAGCTGGACTGCTTCCTTGACGCCTCAGCTCAGACCCCCGCCGGGAGGTGAGCGGAGGCCGAACCGCGCACGTCGGAACGGAGCCTCCTGCCCAGACACCCTCGAACGGCCCCGTTGGCCCACGTTAGCGTTTCGCGGTAGCTGTTGTTCACCCCCGTTGTTGTTCTCCACGAAAGTATCTTTTCAGTTAACGGAAGCAAACGAATGTCGAATGCAAAGTTGGTTTTGCATCGTGCGGGCGCGGAGGTCACACGTGATCGCGGAGGCGCGGGCGGGCGGGTGGCGGGCCGCAGAGCGCCAGGATCGCAGGAGCGCAGAGCCACACGCTGTGCGCGGGTGCTGGTCACCTGTCCCCGCCTCCCGCCGCCGAAACCCCAACTCCCGCCTGCCTCGCCCTGTCGCGCGCTTCCCGATGGTAACGACGCGGAAGTCACGCTTGTTAGGCCGCGCAGACTACCTCATGTCAGAGAAAAATACTTGAATTTCTTTTTGGTGTTGATGCTTCCAATAGTATTAAAGGTTTTCAATGCTGTTACTATGTGAAATCTAATTTCAAACTGCTTCAAACGATCCAGTCCTGGTCCGTCGAATGTCGAGCGAGTTCCAGGAAAGAGCAGGTGACAGAAAGAGGCCCCGGCCTCGCCCAGCTTCCTCCCACACCCCTCCTGCCTCCCGCACCCCCGTTCTGCCGCCCTTCCTCTGCGGAAGCGCGCACCGGGCCCCATCTGGGGTGCTGGCTGCGGGGACCCTGAGCTAACACAGGTATTCCTCGTGTTTGCATCCGTGATGCGGGCCCCAGGACACGAGCACGGAAGGGGACGTGGTTCCCTCCTCTCCTCCCGGCCTCCCACTCCTGAGTCCGCAGGGAGCTTAGAGCTGAGGGTGCGGCCAGGCCCCGGCCACACACTGCCAGTCTTTTTTTTTTTTTTTTCTTTTGACAAAGTCTCACTCTACTGCCCTGGCTAGAGTGAGTGCCGTGGCGTCAGCCCAGCTCACAGCAACCTCCAACTCCTGGGCTCAAGCGATCCTCCT